GATGCAGAGGTGGGTGATAACTAACATTACATCAATGGAGCTAATTAAACATGAGTTCAGTAAACCAGATACTGGAAATGTAGGGTAACAATGCTTATTTCTAAGCCAACAGAAGTTCTGAAGAATCCTGGACAGGGCAGAAATAGCAAAGTTAGTGGTAAGTTAATGCTTCCCCCGCTAAGTGTATGCATATTGTGATAAATAGGCAAGTCTATTATCACATGGGTGTTTCTATTCATGATAGGAGGTGATGCTCAACTTGCAAGCTTGCTAACCACCTAAAGTATTGTGCGGTTAAGTCATGATCCTAGAGAACAAAGAGTGGAAGAAACTTTAGATGCTCCAAAGTTTTGAATAGAAAACTGAACCACTTGGAAGCACAGATGGTGTTTACATCACTTCTTTCTAACAGTTGGGACCTTGGAAGGGATAGAAAAATCTTGAATATGAACAATTTGCTATACAGATGGTGATGGTGAACTGGTTTGGCAACAGTTTTAAATTCCATACTGGTGGGTTCTTATCCACAGAAGAATAATGGAAAAGAAGAAGAAGAAGAAAAGGGAAGAAGAGAAATGGATAAAGAAAGCATAATTTAATACACAAGAAAGAGAAGAATGTATTAAATCATGTTTTACCATTTTTACATTTACTCACATGTGTATACATTGTTTGGGCCACCTCCCCATGTTTCATGTTTTCTTTATCAATTATCCCTACAAGTAGAAAAAATCAGAAGATCACATCAAAAACAGCCACACAGAGGAACAACCAGGAATGCAAAAAGTTTGCCAAATTTCTATTGAAAAATAAGTAGATTTGCTACTTGGCATTCAGGATGTACTTATGGTATTTGGGGCCAGTAAATGTAACTCCCAGAGCAATCGAGTTTGTGGTAGGACATTTGACACAGCAGTAACATAAGTGAAATCTCGCAGAAATCAGGGTCGAAAGAGACCCATTTCTGCTATTATGAAGGGACCATAGTAAGAGGAGAGAGATTCCAAAGAGTAGAAATACCACTTGCTCTTAGAAACTGAGGGATAATCAAGCCTTTAGATTAGGATATTTATAGATGAAAATTTCAAGTCATATAATACCTATTTTTAATATCTATATCTACAATGAACAGAGAAAGTTACAGATTTTTCAGTATAATTTTGTAGGGGCAGCTACAAAATGTTTATGGTAAAATCATAAAATAAGATAAAAAATGAAAGTGATTATGATTTTTTTTTTCAAAATGGCAGGCATTGTATTCTTTTTTGCCTTCAAGATGTACTGAGTGAATGTCATGTTCTAAGTATTGCTTTCACTCCAAGAAATATCAAGAGAAATAACATTTCCTACCTGAAAGAACTCATAACTTAGTTCAGGACAGATAAAACTATACATTGCAAAATGGCCAGGTCTAAAACTACTACCAATGAGAGATCAAAAAAATTCTCCTCCAAGAAAACCAAGGTCAGAAGTTTGAAGGGAAAGAAGAAGAAGGGGGAAAAACCCAGCAGAAAAAGAGGCAGAGAAGAGCTCCAAGTTGGAGGGACCAACAGGCACAAGGGTTCTAGAGTATGGCTCTCACCCGATTCTGTCTGATGGTGTGCAATGGGAAAAATGGAAGATGTGGGGACATTGGAAAATGACATGAGACTTCTGAAAGACTTTGTAACTACTGCTCAAAAAGAGATTATGTTTTCTAAGATAAGTGGCAGAAACTAAAGAATTTAGGCTACTGTTAAGGTAAGTAGGAAAACTTGGGTTCATTTGATCAGAATGATTTTACTTATTTTTATTGTTCTTTTTGCAATATTCTTGTTGTAAGTTATACTTTGAAGCCAAATCTTAACTGTACAGTCTCATTCACAAAGCAGCCCCAGCAACCATTATTTTTTAGCAATTTGAAATCTTCTTACCATGCTGTGACTGAACCTCACCAACTTCAAAGAGTAGATTATTTTCTACATTTAATTAAGAATATTGTTTTTCCTATTTTAGAATGGACTCTGTTAGCCAGCCCAGCAGGAAACAGTAAACACAAGTGTAATAAAACCTTACTGCATTTTCCGTGGCAGTTTTTTGTCATCTGCAGTGTTGTGTCACTGCATCTCCACCTTCAGGAGAGGCAGTGTCTTCCCGATAGCTGTCTTGTTTTTGTAAAAGGAGAGATCCTTTACCTAGTAGAATTAATTCCCTCTTGTGACTTTAATAGTGTGCAGGGATGTATCTCCACAGAGACGGTGACAGAAATCTTCCTTAACAGCACTGTACTCCAGAGCTAAAGTAACCTGTTTCATTGAGTTCTCTTCTCCTTTTAGTTTAAACTAACAGAGTTATTTGCTTTCTGAAAATGATGATGCATTTTTGCATTCCTGGAGCCAATCAAGACCCTGAATTCCCAAAGTTCATGACCTCAAAGTTGAGTTAAATGAACACTACAAGTTAGGTCTCAAGAATACAGCCATGAGCAGGTATGGTGGCCCACACCTGTAATCCTAGCTACCAGGGAGGTAGAGATCAGGAGGATCACTGTTCAAGACCAAACCCAGGCAGAAAAGTTTGCAAGTTCCCATCTCAAACAATAAAATCTGGGTGTGGTGGCATATGTGGGAAGCATAAATAGGAGGACCGTGGTCCAAGTCAGCCCCAGACACAAACAGGGAGACCCTATTAAAAAATAACAAAAACAAAAGCGCTAGGGACATGGATTAAGTGGTAAAGCACCTGCCTAGCAGGCTACAGGCCTTGAGTACCACCAAAACAAAAATGTTATGTAGCCATGTAAAGGTGTTTCAGCCATGAGAAAATATCTATTCATTTTGAAAGCTAGAATGTAGCTCTTCAGAAATAGGTTTGTACCCTATGGTAAACTTTTTTTTTTGCATTTACCTAATTTGCTGTGAAGAGAAATTACTGTTTATTCAGTCTCCTATTATTTTTAGAGATGACATTTCAGACAGCGTTCATCCATGAGGTTACGTTTTTGTGTCGTTGTGCTTTTTATAGATTCTGACCACATTTGCAAAAATCTTTCCATTCTCTCTTAAACAATATCTCCTTTTCCATGTAATAATATACTATAGCAAAAAAGAATCAAATTGATAGGGGCTGAATTCTACAACAAAGGCTATCATTCATGATATGTGACCTTAAAAATACTGTTTTCATCTCTGGGTCTCAATGTCCTCATTTTATGGGTTGGAAAATAATACTGTAGCTCTGTTCATCTAGCATTGTTGGTTGATTCAGTCAATAAAGTGTACCTGAAGTACACTGTATTGTTATTCAAATATTGAATAATATAATTGTAAATATGCCTACAGTTCAAAATTGTCCTTCAAAGACTGTCTTTATTCAAACCTCAATAAAAGGACAACTGGGAGCATTTTTATTGGGAGCTGAGCTAATCTAGATATGGTGAGTTTAATAGAGGAATTAAGTTTACCCCATCTACCATTGTTTCATTTGGTGGCAGCTGTCTCTTCTGAACTTTAGATAGAACCTTGGGAGTGTCTGTTGGGCAGATCCAGTAACACTGCTCAAAGTGTGATCCATGGCTATAGAATTGATGAAACTGACAACCTATAGTGACAATTTCTGAGCCCACTGACTCTTCCTCAGATTCACGGTTCCTCGCTGAAAAGCCTTGAACAAGTATTTGGAAAGGCCCCTCCAATTCCATGTCTGCAGTAGGAAGACATTTTGGCCTGCCAAATTTTAAGCAGGTGTTACCAGTTAGTCACTTGAACCATGGAAAAGCCACCGTCTGGCCTTTTTTGAATGCCTGACTTTGAGTAGTGCAACCTCCTGGTGGGCCTGCCAGAGAAAATTAGCTTCATAATACACTTGCTGGAAATGAATTGAATTAAGTTACTAGATGAATTAGGAATGTGTATGTAAATGTTGAAGAAAGTCTTCTCGAAACAGCAACCCTGGTTTTAGCATCATTGAAGTTGAAACTGCCCTTCTTTTGTCCTGATGATCTTTAGCCAAAGGGTCCAGCTGCTTCTATTGGAGTTTTGTGGATGGTGATAGTAAATCAAGAGATAAGGAAGTCTTTTATAAAATACAAAGTGTTATAGCAATGAAGGCAAGATGTTACAACATTGAGTGAGTGTTATGAATTTAACCAAAGGCTACAAAACATGTGTGTCCTGTTGGCTGAAATATAAGTCCTCCTCATGTTGAGAAACAAATATTTTAGAAAAAGTAAATTAGAGTTAAACTCAACCTTCTGGTAGTTTTCATGGGGTACCTGATGTGGTTGTTAGACAAATAACTCCCTCCAGTAAATTTTATTATTGGTTTTAAATATAAAATGAAAAATGTGAACTCCTAAAGTGTTAAGGAACCATGCCTTCTTTTAGAGTTTTATAAATGCTAAATATCTCACCTAGAAATCTGAGCAAAGCACATGCTACATAATGTGGGTTGTAATTTCACAGAGTTCCTGGTTCACTGATGGATTTTGAGACTCCCAGGTGTGTACAGGGGTTATCTCTACACCAGCTTTGCAAGTGTCTGTTTCTTTCCAACTCATTTTATAACTTTTCCTTTGTCCTTGAACTCCCTACCTAGCAAATCTACTGTGAATTCTTCCTTCCCATGTACACCGTCCTGGAAGGTCCCTTATCCCTAGACTTGTAATAATATGGACTTTGACTAAAAAATGGCAAATGGGAGAACTACCATCCAGTTGGTATCTGCACAGGGAAAGTGGTGCTAAGTGTGTTTTGAATACAATATCTACTCCTTCACATTGTTGTGAATTGCCTGATAACTTCTGTGCACTAGAAATCTCTAATGAAGAGGCCCAGATTGCATGTCTCTCTAGGTTCCTTTGGAATGAGAGTGGCTTTAGATCAGGATGTATATCTACTCACTGCTTGGAGTTGGAGTGGGAGTGAACTTTCAGATTTTCTTAAGAAATCTCACTTCCCTGCTTCAACCTGGTCATTTTATGTACCTCTAACAATTGCCTTTTGCTTTATCTTTCCACCCAGGTTACAACATTGACTCAGGAGGTCTCCCAGTTAGGTAAAGATATGAAGAATGTGATGCAACTTCTGGAAAATGTTCTGTTACCTCAGCAACCATCACAGATTTGCTCTCTACATTCCACATCTGTGTGTCCCTCCAGGGAGGGCTTACAGACCAGGATGAGCTGGAGTACAAACCAACCTTGCCTGCACTTACAAACGAGTGAGGCTGCTTACACCCAAGCTCAACTTTGTCACAGTAATGTCACCTCTGACATCTGGAGTGTGGATCCTTCCTTTGTGGGGAATAGCCCCCAACGAACAGAAGCTCATGAGCAAAACCCTGAAGGCAGTGAACTTTATCATTCTCCAAACCTCAATTATTCACCTTCCCACTACCAGGTCATCCAAGAAGGTCATTTACAATTTTTAAGGTGCATTTCCCCACATTCAGATACCACACTGACCCCTTTACAGTCAATTTCAGCTACTCTCTCATCCTCTGTCTGCTCCTCCTCTGAAACATCATTGCATTTGGTTCTCCCAAGCAGATCTGAGGAGGGCAGCTTTAGTCATGGACCTGTTAGCTCCTTCAGTCTGGAAAACTTGCCCGGCTCTTGGGACCGAGAAGGAATGGCATCAGTCTCTACCAAACCCTTGGAGAACTTCCCACTGGAGGTTGTCACAAGCACAGCAGAAGCAAAAGACAGCAAAGCCACAAACGTATGATATCTCCACATTTGATGCAGCTGCCAATGTCAAACCCACCACTGCATGACAGCTTTAGTTTGCCTTTTTTGCCTCAGGGGGCAGGGCATGAAGACTGGGCAAAGTTTGAAGTCCTGCAGAAGAGAGTGTGAGGAGCCAAGGAAAGGCAGAGCCACTTCCATACTGTAGCAAACAATTTCCAGATCCTAGAGGCATAACGCAAACATTTTTCTGTACAGGTATTAACTTCTGGTCTGTTTGACAGACTTTGGTAAAAGTCCAAAGACCCTGAGGGTCTGAGCAGCTAGAAGTCCCCAATGAAAGAGTTCGTGGATTAGTTTTGTCCTAGGTGGCTTTTGTGAAGGGCAGCAAAGGTTTCTCCTGAGTGCCTGTTTGTCATTGCTGAACAATATCCATATCACTGTTGGCCTCAAGAGTGCACAGCTCCTGCTGATCTATTTTTCTTTTTGTGAGGAAAAGGGACAATTATCACTGCATGTCATCTCCTAGACAATCAGTCAAATAGAGCTGGTGGCCAGTGGTTAGCTATTCGCACGTTATTTGCCATGTAAATGAAAATGTCTTTATTTATCAAAAAAAGAAGCTATTTTTATATCCTTGGTATGACATATGTATTTAAAATATTTATAAAGAAATGAATGTTTTCTTTTCATTTTGGTAAAAAAAAAAAGCTTGCTGTTTTGACAAGAAATGCACTACTGTTATGTATAGTACATCAAAATTATTTATTATTAAGAAGATGTAGTTTCAAGAGGAATTTCCCCTTTTATCTGCATGCAGTTTGCAAAAAAATGTATCCTCACACTTCTGGATTACAAAAGAACAGTGAGGTCATATTTTATTAATGAAATAAAAACATGGAGTGAGTGTCAACAACATGAGCTTTGCCATGGTGGTGCAAAGGGCTCTACCTAGTCTCTCTGAGTCACATTCACAGCCTGAGTTACAGCGACTCCTCCCCTTTCTCCTTCTCCCCATACCAGCAGGAACTTCTCTTCTCTGGGCATCTTACTTTACGATTTAGGAACCCAAAATTGGTCTGTGGAAAATGCTATCACAAAGTCCTTTGACTCACTTAGGAAAGACATGAATGCATCTATTACCCAGTGTCCTTCTTTTAGAAGAGGCTGTAGATAGCAAACATTTCCAAATGGAGCCAAGCTGTGAGCTGTGACTGCTGGAATGACACCAGCTTGCCTTGGGCAGCCCTTGACCTTTAAGCTGAAGGCTGTGCAGGGCAGTTGTCCTTCCCATGTGGTAGAGAAAAAGAAAAGTCCTGGATCCTGACACAATTTAGACCCCAGAATGCTCCCTACATCTCACACCCACCAACTTGCAAATTCAGATGTTGGGTTTGGCAGTCATAACACCTTCACTGAAATTGTATTTTATGTTTAAGAAAATTTAGGGTCAGAACATCCCACCCTACAAGACATACTGAATTCACCTTCTGGAAGTCCCTATTCTCATGTCTTGGCATGAGAAAAAACAATCTGAGGATTAATTGCATCATTAAAAACGACTAAACGAACCAAGATTTCCAATGCCATGTGAGTCATGTACCCTAAACCTGGCTACAGCAGCAAAAAGAAAAAGAAATCTTCTGAAGAAAAATAAATAGGATGTGTTTCTGAGGCAGGTCACTCAAAACTCAATGCCTTCTATCACTCACCTCCAAATTTCAGTCTTTTCTTAAGTTAAAGGGAAAATTCAAGGAAAAGCGATGTCTACATTTCATGTACTCATTTGAATTCCCCACTTTTTTCTCATCCTACCTATGTAATCATTTTAAGTACTATTCAAAAAGAGCTAATTGATATTGGCTCATGAATGTCACATGGCAAACTAGTGCTATTACTACTGATGTCAATAATAATGACCAATACTCTGTTCTTTGAGTACTGACTGTGTACTGACAGATATTTAGGAATCAACATGTGTTATGCTCTCTCACATAGCAATCAAATAATGCTAACCAGTTTCTTGAGTTATTATTATCCCTATTTTACAAATAAATAGGGCACAGACATTTTTTAAATTTTCTCAGTCACATTGTTGTACATGACAAATTCAATACCCAGTGGCCACTCTGGTTATCCTTCCTTCATGTACAAATCTAACCTGTTGCCTTTTTTTCTGTAATTAAGTTGGAACTCATGGCCTTGAGCTTGCTAAACAGGTACTTTACCACTTGAGCCACATCCCCAACCCTTCTTGTTGCTTTTAAGAAATTTATTAGTAATTAATTTATTTCAAAATCAGTGAATAAAATATTTGAGGGTTTTTTTTTTTTCAAAAGTAGACAAATGAATGGGATGAATTAGTTAGTTCTGAGAGTTTGGGGATTTCCCAGTAAAATGGCTGGAAACACACCCACATTTTTCCCATCCAGTCACCTACTCTGTTTCTACTTCTAACCAACTGACTTTAGCATGCTTAAGAATCATTTCCCTGACAGCATGAAATGCAGCTGGACAAGAATGAGTGGGAACCTGGGAAAAGGCAGAGTTTCAACTCATTTCTTATAGGAGGGTACCTTTCTCATCTGAGTCCACCTCACCTTGTTCCTAGTAACCTTTTCCCTTGCTCTCTCTCACATCCAAGGCAATTCAGAATCATACAGTTTTATTTTATTTTTGGTGACATATGTTGTGATTTTATTCTAGGAAATGAGACAAGTTTTTCATAAGGATTAGAGTTTCCAAGCATTGTGGCTATGCAAACAACACAAGCTGTTTGTCTTCTCACCAGGAATGTGTTTTTCGAGCCCTACTCTTTTCTCACCTACCTACCCTTTGCTGAAAAGGGAGGGAGCTAGAGGGAATAGAAGCACTCATTTTCTTAATCAAGTGTTTTTCTTAAAATAATATTGGGAACTAAATTCTTCTTTGTAATTCTAATTAAAAGAAGCAGAAGACAGATTATAGACTTTATATTAATCCAATACAAGAGGAAATTTTTAATAATTAAAGCTACAAATAGAGGTCATGATTTCTCCCCAATAGACAAAACATCATCTCAGAGATTGTGTCTTCCAGAAAGGTTCTGTATTGAGAATGAAGTAACCAGAATATCCGAATCAGAAAGTAACCAGAATATCTGAATCAGAATCACGTGGGATAAGTGTAAAATGCAGAAAACCTGGGTTCAAGCTAATCCCTTTGACTGGAGTCTGAGGAATCAACCATTTACTATACTTACTTAATGACATACATACATTAAGAGTTAAGAAATAATTGGACTACAATCTACAGAAGTACAAGTCTGAGTTCTAGCTAATTTAGACCTTAGGTAAACTAGCAACTGAAGTCTATCAAAGATAGCTCTGAGTCTATATAACTGTGTAATACAGAAGCTTGGTTGACCCCTAAATCAGTACTTCTCAATCTTTATTTCAAATAATTTATTTCTAAGTGATCTTATTAAAATAGAGATTCAGGTCTCTAACTCCTAAATATGGACTGGAATTCCCCCACCATGAATCTAATATAAGTGAATGTTCCAGATACAAACTCTAGAAACTTTGTGGTAAGAAGAGTTACTTCTTTTGGAAGATGGGCAGCTAGAATAAAGTCCACTTACAAGACAAAATTTTACAATACTCTTTCCGCACAGTTCCTAACACACCAGTGATTGTTAAGTGATTGATGACTTTTCTTCAAAAAAGCTTGGAACATGCATCATGAGCTCAGCTTAAAAAAATAAAACGGTTGAGTGCCAACCATGTGCACTTTTTCTATAGGAAAAAGAAAAGTAAAAATACCTTTTGAAATCTTATAAACTGGTCACTTCCTCCCATTTAAGGAGGAATCATATTTGGATGTAAAGCATGACAAGAGAATGAAAACTTCTGTGGATGGCCCCTGTGCAGGGTAGAATTGCAAATGTTGAGATCATGGTTTTATCCATAGCATTGAAAAGAGCCCGATCTTAATAGCTCTTGCAAAGGCTGCTACTTCCCATGAAGTATATAGTTTATATTCTAAGGTCATTCTTTCAAGACATTACTTTTTCTACAAAAGCCCATAGTACTCAAATGCAGACTTCTCTGAGATCGCTCTCGTCACTGAGCATACACACACACAGGTTCTATTGAAAGCTGTTCCAAAAGGCTCTCCTTTGCCTTTTTCTTTCATTTTATACAAAGGCAAATTCCCCAAATAAATATGATGTCAAATAAGGAGCAGGAGTTTTGAAGGGACACAAGAGTGTCTGCTTCCAAGCTCTGTGACCTCAAGCAGGTTAACATTTCTGAGCCTCAATTTCTTCATCTAAAAATTGAGGATTAAAATATGTCTAGTTTGCAATGTCTCTGTGAGATTTAATGAGGAAATTTGTGTGAAAGCACACTGCCTGACATATAATGAATGCTAAGTAAATGTCAGTCAATCTCCCCTGGCCCTTCTTCCACCCTCTACTCCTCTTCTGCTTCTCCCTCCTTCTTCATCTCCCTTCCTCACTCTTAGTTCCTAATCCTTTCCTTGTCCCCAGCTTCCTCTTCCCCAGATTTTCCCTGACTCTTTTCTCCACTCTCCGCTCCCTTCTATCTTCTCCCTCTCTTTCCTGCTCTCCTTCTACTTTCCTTCTCTGCCCTCAGTGTCCCAGACCCACCTCTATAAAATGAGATCAGTTGACCTCTTCTCTACATAAGTCAGAACCCAGCTTTCATACCACAACCCCACAGTCTGTTCACAGTGTTAACAATTAATCAACCTTTACCTTTCAAAATAAAAAAAAAGTCATTGAGTAGAAAAATGTACTGTTGAGCTCCCAACCTCCTTAGCCCCAATTTATCAAGTTTCAGTAATTATTTTTTCAACCTCCTTACAATTTAAAAAACTGGAGAAATTTATTCATTACCATGAATATATTACATAAATGCATACCATCTTTCTTTTTTCTATAAATTTTCTCTATGGAAATTTACTGATACTTTAGCAATCATGTACATACAGACACCACACCCACCACCCCAGGTCACAGAAAACCTGCACACATCAACCAAAAGGTTCAGAACTTTCCATGTAGCAGGTGGTCTTGCTCCTTTGCTCACAGTTCCTCTGGTTAGAAGCAGAGCTGATGAAATGCCTTCAAAGCTTCTCCTGACATCCCATCAAGTGTGTCGGCCCCGACAGAGGGAATAAGCTAAATGTCACTACCTGCAGCTCTTGTCCTGAAAGAGCCTATTGCTTGGGTTGTAGCTTTCAACAGAGCCCTGAATAAAGAGCTCATAAAAGAGGTGAAGACAGCCCAGCAAGGCAGAGACATGTGCATCCACACCTATTATTCCAGGGAATTAAATAAGCTGTTCATTCTAGAAAAAGAAAACTAAGTGCGGGAAATGCATCCTGAGGATAAAACTATGCTTTCTCAGACTTTTTCATTCTGACTTAGGTTCTTCCCCTGGAAACATAAAAACCTAGGGTTTGGATAGACTTTCAGGATGAAGCTAATCAAGCCTTTATTTTGTTTTGTTTGTTTTACAGTTTGCTTGATAAAAATAGAATATACATATGTGATATATTTGAGTCCAATAAAGAATAAAATAGGAAGACATGGGACTTAAAACCGTGTCTGTGCTTTACATTTTTTGTCAAAAAAAATGGATTAGTTTGAAGAGACTATTTTTAGTTAAGAAATCCCTCTAGGTTAAAAAAAATACCCTATATTTTTGGCTGTCTTGTTTCCAGTTGTAATATTTTTTAACAATGATAAGACTCCTGAACTCCAGTTTGGAGCTTTATTCTTTACTTTGGTTTATTTGTCCTGAGGGAGAATTATTTCTGAACTCAGTGTAAGGGTCAGTGCTAAGAATTGCTGAGGAAGGGGCTCACACCCAGATTTCTCATGAAATCTCTGAGTGGCTACAGCGACATGGTCAATACTTTGGGTATCTTTGGGGCCCCTTGCTGAGGTTAGACGTGATGTCCAGGAACCCCCAGGTTGAAATACAGTTCCCTGAAAGTTGCCATGATGACCTGTTGCCCAAAATGAGTTGTGAGAGCTCCTCCTATTCTAATCAGACTGCCTGTAGGATCAAATCAATTGTCATTTTTAGCTCCTAGTACCCAAAAGGCATCTGAGTCCTAGTCCTATATTACTTAGTGTGTCTGGATAACTCCATAAAATCAAATCTACAGAGAGGATTCAGAGGACAGCAATTCTTGGTTCTCAAAGTGTGGTCTGTGCAACAGCCTCTACAGCCTCATCTAGGAGCTTACCAAAACTGTAAAATGCTGAAGTACATCCCAGAGCTACTGAATCAGAATCTGCATTTTAACAAGATGCCCAGGAAATCTGTGTACCTGATACCGTCTAAGAAACACCATCAGAGATACTGGTTCTGGGACTGTAGCTACTAATTAGAATTACCTGTGTAGTTTGTACAGCACAGACTCCTAGATCTCAGGATTCTAATTTAATTTGGCTAGGTCAGACCCAAGTATTGATAATATTTTTAAATTCCCAGATGCCTGCAGCATACATCCAAGGTTCATAAAAAAATGCTGTAGAACTAAGTTCTCAAAA